TTATCAACAGAAAGTTCTAAAATTATTTCATTGTTCAGGCAATTTTTGACATACCTTAACTTGAGCTTTTGTAAAACCAAGAGATCCACACTGAGATTGAGCACCATCATCCACAGTAGCATGAAATGACCTCAAGCACTTCCCATCGCAGCTGGTTAGGACCACAAGAGGCATATTATTTGGAGAAGCAGAAAAAAGGCACTAGATAATAATAAGCAATTCAGAACCAAAACTAGCCACCTCTGAAAAGGGAAGCAGGACTACCTACATGCTACTATCAGGTAAATATTGACCATGAAATTACAAGAGTCCTTAGGAGAACTAGGTGCAAAGAAAAATGTCAACAGCAGTAGAACAAAGGAGGTGAGCATATCACTATACATTCAGTTAGACATTGGAATACCGAGCTTATCAGTCCCTTCTTTAGACTTTATTTCACTAAGATGACGAACAAGCTGAATCAATGGTCTACACCTATGTACAAATGTTTATCGGGGTGCATACACAACATCAACACTGGAACATATATCAAAGAAAATCAGATGAGATAAAACATTTGGCGAACTGATAATTCAAGTATGTGATTGTAGATTCAACGGAAGGTGCAACACAAGGTATATATCAGTGTTGTCTTTGTGGAATGGTAAAGGCTTAGCACAGACCAAAGAAGTTCACCACCATCGTCACATATTGCGCAGAGAGATTCGAAGTGATTGTAATCAGACTCATCATCTTCTTCTTCTTCTTCATCGTCATTTATGATCTCATCGACTATAAACTCAGATATTGATCCAACCTGCAAAAGAAAAAAGCACCAGCTCAAAAAAAGAACAAAATATTCTATTCCTCAGTTCCTGCTTCATGTCTAAGAAAAACAAGGGAAAGAATATGTACAACCTCGTCAAAGACTTTCTTCTTCTTAGGTTTCTCCTCCATAAATGTAAGTAAAACCTGCATAAAACAAGATCAGTTTCACCTTTGGCTACAAAGATGCAAAATATTTGAGAAGACAAACAAAAATAAAAATAAAACAAATTCAAAAAAGAAAACGGACAAACTCAGGCTCAAAAAAACGACCTGATTGAATTCCATTTCAATTCAGACACTAGTTAATTCATCTTTGGAAAAACATTATGTTATTTACAGGATAGATCAGAAAGTACTTTTGAATAACGACATGAGAATTAAATAAATTTGAAGCCTCGCCCCATAATTAATTTGAAGCCAAGGTCAAAGTGGAAAATTTAATAGTGATATCAGTCAAGAAACATGCTAACGTACATTCAGTTTTACCCCCTTATGCAATTGTATTTCAAAGATGGAAAAAAGACGAGGGAAAACCCAACAGATAACAAAAGTGAACTTTATTTTTATTTTTTGAGAAGGATAACAAAAGTGAATTTAGAACCATTAGAATCAGAGATCTTTCCACATGCTAACTGAATGATCACAACAAGGAATCACACAAACCTTAGATTGCGCCAATTTCCCATCACGCTTAACAATTTCATTGATAAAATTCATGTGATCCACTAGATCATTCTCCGAAGGCCTGGGCTCATACACACTACAAAAAACATAGGTAAGATTCCAGATTTCTCGAGGGAAAAAAAAATTTATATGCTAATATACAAGATATCTATAAGTGAACCTGAAAACTTTAGATAAATGATCCCACAAAGCTCTGCCAGAAGATTCTGGATTTCTTTTCAGGAAGTGTAACGAATGCACAGTGATCAAGATTGACCTAATGGTATCCTGGAAAGCCTTCCTTGGTTTTTCAAGTTTGATCCAATCGTTCTCTTTAGACAAAACTGAAATTGCTGGCTCTATACGTGAAGAATCAATCTTCCATGTTGTGACTTGCTTATAAATCTTCTGAAGGCCATTATCCGCAGTCCCACGCAAGAAAATATGTCTTTTATTCCCATCCAAACTCTCAGTATCATTAGACTGAAATGTTAGCTCCGCAAATGAAACAGGTTCATCCTTATCATCCACAAATTCATAGTTAGAGACAGTACTTGGGACTGCTTCAGCTTCATCATCAGAAGATGCCATTCCCACTTTCCCCAAATGCTCTGGGGCAATACCTGACTACATGCCAATGAAATTCACCCAGTATACAATGATTAAGAAGCACGAAGTTAAGACATGGCTTCATATAGTGGAAAACTTTTTTTGCAGTAATACAGTAGAAAACTTGTTCTAGACAAAAATGAAGCCTCCATCGATGTGAATATTTATGATTGTTAGGCATGGTTATATATCTAAAATTGGAGTTCAGCACCAATTTTGAATCCAATCCTTCTATGCCTAGAAAGTATATTTAGAAGTTAGTAAAATTAGTTGGGAGTATTAAAGGCTGATCGGGAGTAACAAGGCGATACTCATGAACAGCTGAATTTCCTTTATATAAAGTGGATAGACTGAATGTCTTTACTCCCAGGCTTATACATTTGACAAGTAAAGAGAGATTCAGAGTTTTGAACCCAAATTTTCTGGGTTAAGGCAAAAACAAGTAAAATAAACAACTCATACCACCAAAAAAAATGTTGTAGAACGTTGCGATTCACCAAAATCATTCACTTTCTGGATAGGCAACCAAAACACAAATTCAAACTACTTCCTTACACTGCCGAATTAAGGCAAAAACAAGCAAAATAAACAACTCATACCACCAGAAAACGTTGTAGAACGATGTGATTCACCAAAATCATTCACTTTCTAAACAAACATCCATAACACAAATTCATACCAACTCCCTACACTGCTTAATTAAGGCAAAAACAAGGAAAATAAACAATTCATACCACCAGAAAACGACGTAGAACGACGCAATTCACCAAAATCATTCACTTTCTAAGTAAACAAACCAAAAACAGATGCATTCATAAACCGATTCTTCGGTCCAAAGAATTAACAAAATTTAGGGCCCTGTACATAAATTCGATGAAACTACATAGCGTAACGTAAAAAGACCGCACCTGTGTATAGAACGAAATCGAAACGACGGCGAAGTCGCCGGAGAATTGCGGTGGCACGCGCAACGGAGAAACCCTATTTAAGAGTAACCGGTGGTGGTAGAGAGTGAAATGTTAGAAGCTCAGAACTAGCAGAAATTTGGCGATACTGACGCCTAATTTATAGATCTTTTTTCTTTTTCCTTTTTAGTAGATAAATTTTAATTAATTATTTGTTTCTCGAATAATTAGTAACTTATTCATTATCAAATACCAATAAGATATATTTATCACATAGCCTGTTTGGATTGGCTTTTGGCTTTTGGCTTATGATTTATACGCCATAAGCTAACATTCTTATGGCTTATTTTTGTTATTTTGATTTTAAAATAAGTGTTTATAAGCACTTTTTAACTTTACACAAACACTTCAAAACTGCTTAAAAGCACCTAAAATAAGTCAATCCGTTCATCTTTACTTGTCCACTTTATAAAATTAATGAATAATTTACTATTTTGTGTCTACTTTAACCTTGCTATTAAATACGATTTATTTTCAATGTTTAGATGACTTATATTTAATTGTTATACTCTGATAAACTTACCATTATCATTTATTGTTTATAATCATATGTCAAGTCAATAATAGACAACTACAGTTAGATAGAGAGAGTACCAAATAAAGATGAAATTTTAGCAAAACTTTTTCTTATAAACAATCTAATAAAGTTGTTAGACAATATGAAATTTTAGCAATGCTTTTTCTTATAAACAATTTAATAAAGTTGTTAGTAGTGGTGCATGTTTGTTCTTCGGTTCGATTTTATCAAATTTTGATTTGATTCTTCAATTTCTAATTTTGAAAAAGTGTGCATCGAATATCAAATCGAATTAATCCAGTTCGGTTGGTTTTTTCAACTATGGTTCAATTTAGTTTAATGTTTTCAAAACGATTGTTCGATGCTAATAAAAATAAATGATGATAAAATCAATGTACAAGTCACTTACAAATTTAAAATCATGCTAAATAATGACATGTCTCACCATGAAACACTTTATCTTATTAAGCTTGAAAGACCATATTGTCTTCGTCAAGAACATTTTATCTCCAACTACTGCTCGAGGATGAAATATTTATTACGCTTAAAAGACCATATTTGTCTTAGTCAAGAACACCAAACTTAAAAACCAAAAAAACGAAATCGAAGACCCAAATTAGTTCGATTCATTCCAGCTTTTTGATTTTCTGATATTTATGTCCACCCTCTACAGTGTTTTATACTATTTTTAGTTGAAGTGTCAATAGATCTTGTTTTATACTATTTTTAGTTGATTTGTCAATGGATCTTAGTGTCATTGTCTTAACTAAAAGGTAGAGTCATTATACCCCCAATATTTATGAAATAGAAATATTGTTACCGATAGACTTCAATTTTTTTGAACATAAGGTAATAGATATGATAAATAAAAGTAAAGATCAACCAATTGATTCATTACTAGTCATCAGGGTTAATACCTCAGATGATCACTCAACTATCCAGTCTTTCCTCAGAAAGTCACTCACATGGTGACTTTTTAGTGAAAATTAAAAGTTGAGTGACTTTCTGAGGCAAAAGTGGATAGTTGAGTGACCATCTGAGGTATTAACCCCTATCCATCACTACTAATAGTTCCAACATAAACCTATGTCTTACAACAGCTTTTTGAATCATCAGCGGCATGTTAGTAGCACTACAAAACAAGTTAAAAGACATTTTCAACAAATAGATAAATCCTCATTTTATTGCATAAAGAGATCGAATCTTCTACGTGCCCTTGCTATGCATTTTAATTTTCTTGAAGAGTCGAAGGAACAAGACATGCCATAATTCCAACAAGATTTGATTCATCAGAGCAAATATATAAAATCTCCGACCATAGCTCGGATGTCAAAATTTCAAAATCTCGATCATCCATCATTCGTCACAGATGATTTGCTTCCTTAATGAAAAGAGAGTAAGATTGTCACCATTGTGTAATGGCAAGTCTCAACTACTTACTATACAGACTCCTCGTTTATGGTTGGTGAACAAAATACCGGTCTCATGTAAGTATCATCGAACCTCCTCCAGTAGGAATGAATTGTATATACAGGTCTTTGAAGCAGCATGGACAAGCTATCCTTCGCGCGTAGTAGATTGGTTGTGGCAGATTCATCAAACGAAAGCAAAGGAAGTGTCTCTTTTGAAATAGATGATTCTCTGTCTATACCTCTCCTACTGTCATTATGCGGAAGCAGATGGTGAATGAGTGGCTTTGTCAAGAAGCCAAAAACCTGCAATGAAACCAATGAATTTATGGAGTTGCCAAAAGTAAACAAAGGTGACAAATTGACGAGTTGGGTCGAATGGACAGGCCTAACAACGATAACATACCCAGTAAAATCCCACTAGTGGTGTCTTGTAAACTATACCACTACCTCATGAAGGTAGAGAGGTTGTTTCAGAACAACCTTAAGCTCAAGTGGACATGCCACAATGTCAAATTAATAAATGAGTCATCACTCGACGGTCCCAAAGTTTGCTTGGGGCAACATAGCTAGGTCAAGAAGGGTCAAATAACTGACCATAACCCAACCCTGCAACATTACCCGACCTCCTTCCTTTTTTATTCTTCTCTTCGAAAAAATGCACAAACTAGTAAACTACTATATTTTTCTTAAATCTTTAGCTTAAGTTCTTTCTTCCAAATTTACATGATTCAAAATTTCCAATTTTCATTTGTATGTTTAGTTTGCATTCCATACACGTAATGACCCAAACCCGTTTAAGCCTAAGCTATTTGGCGGAATACCGAGAGATGAGTTGTTTTGCTACTTCTAAGGACCAGAATTGTCAAAATTTCTGTAGTTCTAATAGATTTTTCCATACCAAATATCAAAATCTTATCCAATTTGCCATTAACTTACCAGAGTACTGAAGAGTACAACAACTACTGTAGTCGTAACCATTACGGCATGTACTGGATCAATAGTGACACCAGAGAAAGTGAACTGCATCGGAAGTTCATACATTCAATATTAAACAGACAGACTTCATTTTAAAATTGATCCATATCGTGGGAAATGCTAAGGTACCTGCTTGAACGCCAGGGCTATAGAAACCGCCCCTCTCATAAGACCAGCCCACCAAATTACTATCTGATAAAATAGCACACATGACACAGCGCACATATTTACGACATGATTATTTCAAGAAATAACTAGCATGTTACCTGATGTTTGAACGTTATTGGCGGCGTTCTTGTAGCATTTCGATTCATGAAATTGGAAAGAACAGAGAGAGGGAACACAAAAGCAGCACGCCCAATAGCCATCAACATGAGCACAGTAATATATATTCCCATTGAAGTCCAAACACTACCTGCAAGACTGGATATAAAAGAGTCAGCTTTGTTTTGCTTTGTTTTGCTGATTCTTGAAGGATTTTCAGTCAGGGAGTTCAAAAAATAAATATATAGTGCCTATGGATTTGAACTTGGAACCTCAAAGTAAATTTTAAACCACTAATAAGTCAATCTCATGTCTTGTGCTCAGGTCCTCAGGATATTCAAAAGCTATATATACAGTGTAATTTATTATCGAGGAAGTTCAATACCTTCCCGACCCCCTAGATCCTCCCCTACCCACAAGGGCATTGTTCACCAAATCAGTCAAACTCTATTAAGTTAAAAGCACTAAACATACGCACTGAGTTCTTTTAATTGAACACTCAAAGAGAAGTTATCTATCTCTTCCTTTTTATACGAGAAGGTTGCGGCCCAAGCCTAAGATGAATTGATAACCAAATATAAATCAATAATAATTGAATGATAACATTGAGTTGATATCTTACCTCTGTTGGCTCATTTTCCACTTTTCAATGTCCAGCGCATCCATCCCCACGTACAAAAATATGAATGTTTCAGCAATGAAAGACATAGCTTCAAATGCATGCCTGTGGTCCAAAGTATATATCATCTCAATAGATCATCATACTTCTCCATGGCGGCTCAAGATAATTAGTAGCCTAAGTCTAACATCTAATCTTTTAGATTTTTATTGAAAAACTAAATTTTTTCTATGATTTAAACTATATTAGTAATAAGAAACGGGAATAAGCACACACGTTACCGTCAACATGTGTGCTTCCCGGAATTACGATGTAAGTTTGAGGGCTCTTTTGTCATTTTGGCTTTATCTTATAGTTTTTGGCCTTAACTTCTTGTACCTTTTTTAATCTTTCAGAAATTATTTGACACTTTTATCCTTTGCTTATGCTTATGTGAGATGAAATGACACTTGTATATATATACCAAAATATTTTCTAATCTTGTGGTCTTAAACATGTCGTGTGGAAGTTAAATTTAAAAATTGACAAAAAAGAAAGAAACATTGTTCAATATTTCGAAACGAACTAAAAAAAAAAAAGACAAATAAAATGAAAGACACAATACAATTTTTTTTTTGGTTAAAAGGGACTTATAATAATTCTATTATTGCTAAAAAAAAAAAGAAAAAAAGAGGCACCTCAAATTTGACGGCCTAAGACGGAAGCCTCATTTTTAAAGGCAATAAGTCTCCCCTAATACGAGCATAGGTCAAAATTGCAGAAAATATATGAATGGCACCTTCATGCATACCTCGTAGTGATTCTTGAACTATCAGTCACATTATGCCATGCATAGTGAGACATCAAGATTCCGGAAAAGAAGACGGTCAAAATTCCACTGAGGCTCCAAAGCTTTAAACAACATAATCAGTTTGTAAATACCATGAGAATACTTGAAAATATATGAAAATAGAATTCGCAGACGAAACTAGGATTGAACTATATGGTGCCTGAGTTCAGAATTCTACCACGTCTCATTTGATTTATTGGTTTGAAATCAATTATGTGTACTAATTTAGTGATTTCTCAACACATACAGGTAAACACAAAACAGTATAGTACAAGTAATTACTATACCTCAGCCAACATGTAAGACAGATATGCCATCAGAAGCATGAGCGATATTTCACGAACGGTAGAATGTCTGCACAGATACGAAACATTTAGAATTTATAGGATAATGTAGATTCTGAGCTTCCATATATGAATACAGAAACATCAAAAACGAATTTTACCTTCCGAAATATAAGCCCTTCAGAATGTATGATGTTATAAGTCCAGCCTGCATGCAGAAACAGGACACATTCAGAAAGCCTGTTTGCTCGTGGCACTCGTGCTCCAAGGAGCAGAACACATTTTAAGATAAGTAACTATACATTCGCGTAGAAGCGAAATCAATGACAAGGAAGGATAATCTTGAAACCACGTATGTTTCTTAGAAGACGATAATTCATCAATTACACCATCCTATACCCTCGGACACAACATAAACAGTTTTTTCATTTTTTTCGAGTATTGTGGAAATAACTACATCCGGCCTCTACCACATAGTACGGAATTAAAAGAGTTAAAAGACTAACAACAACTCCGAGACAAGTGCTTGTGGAGAACAGGTACAGAAAATCTAGAAAGACATGGAAAGCCGACCAGCCATTGAATCTTGCGACATCAATCTTCTGCACTGCATTGAATAGAACAACTGATGTAGCATCATTCACTACTCCTTCCCCAAAGACAAGGCTGTAAAGTAACGGAGTCTCGTCTTGATGAAGAACCTGCACATAAAGTTTGCAGCAATGCAGATGTAACTAACTAGCTGACTTAAACGAAACAGGACACACAACCTCACATGCCATTATAATTAACCTGCAATGTGCAAACAGTATCCGTTGCCGAAAATATTGCTCCAATACCTTAATCAGAAGTCAGAACAGTTGCATCAGTTAATAAGTCAGAGAATTAGCTAATATCAACAATGAAAGCAAACAAGGAAACTCAGATAGAACGAACAAACCAAGGTAGTCGCGAATAGTCAATCCATTGAAATTAAGCTTGGGAAATATCCACCAGCTGCCTATATTAATCAGAAATGAATGTTAAACAAAAAAATTAGATATATAACAAAAGCAGAAGCTTTGGAATGATAGATTACCCGATGCGATAATACTTGATGATATGAAAACACCAATAACTCCAAACGACATAATAGTTAAGAAGTTATGGAAGAACTGCTTCTTCTTAACTTGGTATCTGGATAAGATATGTATACACAACATGTCATTTTAAAAGGTAAGATGTTTGACATTGATGGAATTATAATTTAACATAAAACTTCTTACCCTGCATTAAATATTATCGGTGGAAGTAGATAAATGAAGAACACTTCTTCATTAAATCTAAGTATGTGAGAACTTTTCCCCTTGCTTATCAGAAGTATTACTGTCCCTGATATGAGACCCTATACACCAGAGGAGTAGATTATTACACTCAGAACCAGTGAAAAACTAAACGGATAATTCCGTAAACTAAACGTAAAAATAAAATAACACCAAATAATTCAGGGAAAGTATGAATATGACTAAGAAACTATGTTGCTCGGATGCTCCTAAGACCACCGAGTCTCAAAATTCTTTAGTATTTTTTTTGGTTAAAGGGCCTGCTGATTGAAACTATGTCAAATAAATTAGAACAGAGAAAGTACTCCTCCGTTTTAATTTACTTGTCTGGTTTTGACTTGACACAAGATTTTAAAAAATAAAAATGAATGGACTTTGTGAATCTTGTAGTCTTAGATCTAAGGATACGTAGAATGTGCCAAATACATTTTAAACTATCTTTAATCTTGTGATATCGTGGAAAGTTAACATTTAAAAGTTGTCAAAAAAGAAACATGCATTCCTTTTTAAACGGATTACAAAGGAGAGTGAGACAAACAAACTGAAACAGAACAAGTGATATTTTTACAACAACAATAACAAACACAATGTAATCCTAGAAGTGCAGTCTACAAGAGTGGTGTGTATGCTACATGAAGGTAGAATCAAAGAGTCGTCACAAAAAGAAAAAACAATACTCTTTTTTAAACGAACTTTCGTAATAAAAACAAATTGAAACACGGGGAGTAATACTTTTAAAACAAAAATATATCTAAGGTAATCCTACAAATGCAATCGGAGAAGAGAGGTGTGTATGCAAACTTAAACACGTACGCAACTCAAATAATATATTTCAAAACATTATTGAAAAGTAAATGCTTTTGAATGGACATATCCAAATTCATTTGACAACTCAAATACAATACAAAATGTACAAATGAATCAACTCAACACCTCAAATTCAATGTACATATTACTAATTCATAACGAAGAAAAAGAGGGGAATTGTATATATACGTACAATGATAATGGCTGTGATGGATTCGTTAACCCATCGATTTTCTTCGAATAAAGAGCCAATTACTAAACATATACACAAAATCGCCACGAACAGAGTGATCGGAACCACCATCTCATGGCTGTTCTTATGCCCAATAAAATTCACGTAATTGAAAAGGGCCATTTTTTCACCACTTCACTCACACTCAAATTTAACAATTCTGCTAGTTTCTATCTGTATGCTATATTTTTGTTGCATGATATATATGAAAGTGGAAAGTGTGAGCTAAAAATAAGACAAATTTTGCGGTACTGACTAGGAAATTGACACATTTGTAATAAGACTAAATTATCATGCAGCCAAATACACAAGTGTAGGAGGATATCTTTATATTGTTGTATTTTGCTGTATCTGATCCTCTTATTATGCTGAGGACTTATTCTTCTAAGTAGTATAAGTGATTTATTATTTATTTATTCGTTTAATTAATTAAATTAAAATAAAGATGTGGACAACTCAATAGAATGTGCGGCTTAAAGTCAAATTTAAAAAAAAAGAAAGATATTATATCTATTTAATTAAAAAAAATTATATATTATTTAATTCTCATAAAATAATTAAAATATATGATAGTTAATTATAATTTGATAATTGATTTTTTTCAATTGACAATATAATATTTTTGTAATAATTCGTAAGACATAAATAAACATACAAATTATTGTACGTTATATAACATCACAAATGTTTATATTAAGTTCTTATTGATTATATTTTTAAAAACTTTTTCAATGGGGTGAATTGTTAAACTATCAAAATTACTTTAGAAGTAGTATATTTATTTAAAAATAGATTAAGAATTCACCTAATAGGTTATGTCAATTAGAGTATTATTTTTACTTGTAAAATCATCAATATTATAATGATTGTCATGGTTTATAAGATAATCTAATTAATTTGAGCTTGAAATGTCTAAGAATACACCTCAAAGAATTGAAGATAATCTTATGAAGTCAATGCTAAAACATGATTGATTCAAATTGAAGTGAATTAGACAAATTAAAAAGTACAATGTAACTACAAATTTAATTGTCTATAACTTTAAATTATAATTACATCAATTGTATTTTAAGAAAATAATAAAATTTTGAAAATATGTTCATAATGATCGGTAAAAGATTCACAACAAACTATTAAGAAAATTTTCAAAGATCCGAACTTTAAACAATTCATTTGACTATTCAAATCCCAATGGATGAAAGAATCAAATATTGCCCGCAAATTTAGTCTATAGAATACTGCTCCCTCTATTCCATAGACTGAATTTGTAAGACAATCTTAACAAAAATATTTAAGGACATAATTTAAACCATATTTTTCACTATAAAATCATAAGTGTAATAAGTAGTATTCCCTCCGTACTATTTTATGTGAAATAGTTTGACTCCGCACAGAGTATAAGAAAGAAAAGGGGAAACTTTTAAAACTTGTTGTAAAATGAATTATAGTGGCTATAAATTATTTCATTAAGGATAAAATAGATATTTTAAATTTAAATTGTTATTTAATATAGAAATGTGCCTTTTTACGATGACTCATATAAATTGTCTAAATTGAGACAGAGGAAGTACTATCAGAAGAAAAAATTCAAACATCCATCCCGAACTTTCAAGAATTCAATTATATATATATGTATGTTTATATACTTACAACGATAATGGCGGTGATGGATTCGTTAACCCATCGATTTTCTTCGAGTAAATGACCAATCACTAAACAAAGACACAAAATCGCGACGAAAACCGTTATCGAAACCACCATCTCATGGCTGCTATTATCATTCACATAATCGAACAGTTCCATTTTTAAAACTCAATTCTGAATCAAATTTAACATCATTTGAGGGTTTTTCTATCTCTAAGCAATATTTTTGCTGCATGATATGTATGAATGAACGTTTTAGCTGCTAATAAGAAAACAAAAAATTTGCGGTGCTTGCTGGGGAAATTAACACGTTTGGGGAAGAAGACGAAATTATCATGCAACAAATACACGTGGCCATGTGTTATTCTTCTTTGTTGTACCTTTATATATTGTTTTTTTGTTACTCCCTCCGTCCCTCTTTACTTGTATTACTCAATTCATTTAAAAAAGAATGACCTAATTTAACTTGAAACGAAGTTTAAGAAAAAAAAAAAGACGTTTTAATCTTGTGATTTTAAATATGCCAGGTGAAAAGTTTATCACGCCCAAAATCCCATTAAGGCTGACCGGCACCCGTTGCCGAGAAGGCTCGGGAGGACCAACCTGTAATCATGCTCTATCTATGAACATTTAAAGGTGCTGCCATAGTGGATAACATGTTTTCATGAAAGTAGACAGTATTAACAAGCCAAAAGAAAGTGCTCATGACTTGGCCGTTGGGACCATGATGTCTAAGACACGAGGCGCAACCACACTTCACTATACATAGTCTACAAAGCCTCTAAATGATAAATCATTATGGTGTTAAGGTCGGGACAGGCCCCGCCTTACACTCAGCTACTATACAATACCAAAATACATGCTATAGACTCGGAAAGCCCCGAATCAACCTGGAGCTCACCAATAGCCGTTGGATGTCCTGTTCTCCTATTGGGGAGATCTACTAGCTCCTGTACCTGCAGCATGAATTGCAGGTTCCCCAAGAGAGACATCAGTACGGGAGAATGTACTAAGTATGTAAGGCATAAAGTACTGTATGTGAAATAAGAACTCAAATGAAATCATATACCAATGTAAGAATACAAGACCACCTTTTCTCATATTATGGAATCAGCTACTTTACATTCTTTTCTTTACTTTATCATTCTTTACTTTACACTCTATGCACAACATATAATACAAATGACCAGTTGATCAGTGGTAGACATATAAATCGGGATCGATCCATGCTAGGCTTTTTTTTAACCCCTGGAATACCACCTGTAATATTGGGATCAACCCATGCTAGGTGATTCTTCCACCCCTGGGATACCACCTGTAATATTGGGATCAACCCATGCTAGGTGATTTTTCCACCCCTAGGATACCACCCATCAATAAGCAGATTCATTTAATATCTTTCCATTAACATTTGAGATGATTCTTTTGGTGGTCATAGCATTTTTTAAGTTGTGGGACTATGTAGTCAACAAGTGACATGTAATAATCATATAATGCAAGAACAACAAAGTAGAGAGTAGTTACACAATTAGTGAAATGCATAGGAGCTGAAATAACATATGGACCTTATTTAGTCAAAAGGAGAACTCATGCAGGGTATTCAATGTATATGTACAGATTTGACAATGAACATGTATTGGAACGTGCATATATGTTAAAGAGTGAGAACAAGGTCATAAGTCGTGTTGGAGCTGGTAGGCTGCTTCTATGTGTCGAGGACGAGTCTAGATTTCATGCCAATTAGTAGGAAATCGAAAAGCCTTACATACCTTGTTGTACCACCTTGTAGTTACCTTGAAGTACCTTCCTTTCTTTTCAAATACTTATCTACAAAATAGAGCAAGATAAACTAGTATTAATTGTTACTAAACATGCTTAAGAAGTCCAATCTGACTCAACAATAATGCTCGGGCAGCAAACCCGTAATTACCAAACTAAGGTTATTCTTTCAATCCCCACCTTCTTTTATTGCATTTGTACACTACACAGCTATATTTCAATATCAGCAATTTACACCCTTTCCAGATATCAACCAAGTTGTCCCCAATATGTTTATACATCAACCAGTCCCAAAAACAGTCCTAACAATCCAACATACAATAGAGGACATGAAACCATAGTTTCACTTCATCATCCCACGAGTTCTTTTCAACAATACACTTAAAATATCATACTTAGACTCGTGTTTAAGGAAGACAAAAATAGGGGAGTCACTTTACCTTAATTCTTATAACTCGTTTTCTTTTAATTGTAACTCTTCAATAACTTGAGCTTCCCTTCACATAGGCCAAAGAAAAAGAGAAAAGCCTCTCAATAACAAAGGAAACTGAGCAATTAAACTTTTGACAGATTCAGTCCTCTACTTGTTCTTAACTAATTAACATGTTTATCTAGCATTCCATGAGAGAATTAGGCTAAATCCATTAGTAATTCCACTTATCTTACCTTGCAAGGGCTTGGGTTTATCCAAGAACCCTAGGAAACTTGTGGCTGCTGCTATGCTTTGAAAGAGAGAGGAGAAGCTTAGAGAGAAATCTGATTTTTATCTATTCTTAAAAGTGAGGAAATGGCCAGCAACTTGGCGATTATAAAGGTCTTACTTTTCCCACCTCTTAAGTTTTAATATCAGTCACTAATTTGTCAAATTGGTCCAAGTAGGTGATGCACCTGCTTGAAATTATATATACACAAAATGGGCCATTTATGTACTCATCTTGGGCTGCAATCTTTCCCCTTTCTAATATTAAGCCATGGGCCAGAATTATACCCTTAATTTGGGCCTTAGTCTTTATTGGGCTCAAGTAGTTGGACTTGGACAGATTGGTGTGAGGCCTCATCTCCATTCCCTTTTCCTTTTTATTTAATTTGGGCCTCAAGTGATCCCACTAATGCATGAACTAATCTTCCACATCTACCTAGCCCATTTGAGCTAAGCAAGTAAGTGACACCTGCTAGCTTTATAAAGTCCAACAAGCACCTCAATTCTTTTATTCGTTTTTCAAGGGTAATCTCCTTAGTTTAACTCAAAACTTATATACACTTGATCGCCTTAACTTTTAGACTTACATATTGCCCTTCGATCCAGAATTTAAATACTTCTAAAATTTGACGTTCACTCAATCGTGCAATATTGCAATGTACGGGAATTACCCTTATAGCTTCTTTATTGTCACCATTCATCTAGGAAATCAAGTTCATTACTTATACCACCAAGCTAAATCAAGTTCCATATGTGTAGGACTTGTACACGTAAAATACAGGGAGTTACAAAGTTGAAGCATTGCCACAAAAAGAAAGAGGTCATTCTTTTTCAAACAGACTAAAAAGGAAACTAGAGGTCATTCTTTTTTAAACAGACTAAAAAGGAAACTAGATTATTCTTTTCAAATCAGAGAGAGTATATATTAAAAATAGCTATCAAACAATGTTTATTCAATTTAAAAAATCAAGAAATAATTCATCTATTTGTGTCTATTTTACCTTTGCTATTAAAATGCAACAATGGAAAAGAAGTCTCTAATTCAATCCCGAGTATGGAGAAAATCATGTTAGAAGCATTACTCCTAAATGATACATACAATGCGCTATCTAAATTTAGTCGGAGCTCTAGTGAAAGCTCTGGACATACGGTGGAAAACCAAAAAAAATTTGAACTCATAGTATGCAAAGTTCTCAACAATGTAAAATCTGAAAGCTGACACAAGACTTATCTTAATGTATCTGAAGAAAACATTAGTGATGTAAGATGAACCTGTCAAAATCATGTGACATCACATTACAAAAAAGATAAGTCTGATCTTAAACTCTAATAATAGCTAAAGGATGTTCTTAATTCCCATTCTATGGAGAGTAATAACAGAGGTAATCTCATATAAAACTTCTGATGATGAGTTACAACTCTTAAGCAGTAGCACCACTTGCACCCTTCCCTTTCTTTTTCTGTAGCTTCTTCATGTAAAACTCCAGTTCCTTACCCTCCAAGATGTAACTGCCAAAAGTTAAAATAAAAAAATGTAAGAAATGACAGCTGCAAGAGTCAAGCATGATACTCTCTCTGTTCCAATTTATGTGATAAAGTTTGAATAGGTTCGAAATCAAAGAAAGAAAAGCTTTTGCAAGTTATGGTCATAATTTTCAAACTTTTGGGATGTGTGGTCTTTAACATTTTGTAATATTTGGGACGGTATAAGAGGTTCTCGACAACAAACTACAACAGACACAATGTATTCCCACAAGTGAGGTATGGGGAGGTAACACGTACACAGATCTTACCCCCTTACCTTTGCAAGGTGGGGAGGTTACTTCCAATAGACCCTCAGATCAAAAGAAAAGAAGAAATTATAGTAAGGTGCAAGGACATGAGACGGCAAAATAGCAGGATAACAAAACAAATAGCAAATGATGCAACTGATAGATATAAACACTGAAGAAAGGAAGCTATGCAATTACCTCTGTAAGAGCTTCTCATCAATGGTAAAATGAGAAGTTCAAGTTATATTGTTCCCAAATTTAGAAAGCTTCCATTATTTTAGAACGAACTAGAAAGAAAATGTTCACATAATCTGGTACAGAGGAAGTAGTTTATATCTTCCAAGTCCAAAGTCATAACTAATAGATTCCAAAAGACACATAAATGTAAGATATTCAAGACCAAACATACACTGTTGTCTTATAGAGTAAATTAAAATTCTAGTTAAATCATTTTTATGGTTAAGATGAACAGTTTTTTTTCGTTAAATCATTTTTTTCATCACGGTTTATTTGGACCAGAATTGATGCAGATAGTTAAATCTATATCAACAAGGAAAAGATCATTAATTCAATGACATATGATCTTAGTTTAGCCATAAAAAAAATCAGCAAAGATGCAGCCAAAAAAAATTAAGATAATACTAGACCTCCAATTCAAAGATTGGCAAATTCAAGTTGGCATGGCCAAGAGTTTTCATAGTTGAAAAAATGTATTATGTCATTAAATGCATAACATCAAGTCAAAATATTAGTTAGTAGCAGGTCGGTAGAGTGAAACAAAGAGACTGCAGATTTGAGCTTCATAGTTTTCTACAAAGATTAAATAGAAAAGAAAACTCATACCCATCAGCACGGCCACATTGGCCAGGTCGTGATGAGATTGCCGCCAATAGACGACCACTAGCAAATTGCTCTTCAACATGTGGGTTGATCTTGCGATCCTGTTGACGCTTTTCCAGCTTTCTTTGGACATGGTTACTTTTCTTCTCCTCTGCAGCAGCCTCAGCAGCCTCCTGTGAAATCAAATAGAAACCTTCACATAATGCACTGAGACTCTATGCCAACCAAATCAATAGAACACGATGCTGTAAACATATACTAAGACAAAATTCACCACAAGAGACATTGAAAAAGATTAAAAGAACAATATTCAGAAAAGAGGGGGGAAAAGTCTTCATAAATTTAACACAAACAATTATGTATTTCAATTTTGCATGAGAAACACCACATACAGCGCAAGAAACATTTGTAGCTTCACAAATGCTCAAGCAAAACATCTTGCAATTAAGTGTGTGAATTAAGTCAATAAATTGTATCATAAAATAATTATCAAATAAAAAGAAGTGGAACATCATGAACAAAAGAGCCCACATAAGATGAGAAAAGCATTTGTGCAAATACCTCTCCTTCCTTCTTGGCAGCACTCTTCTTCTTGCGACCAATTTCAACACCGTAATGCTGGAGATACCACTGCTTAAATGGAGCTGCATCAACTTGCACAATTGCACTCTTCACTAGAGTTTGTGTCCTAACCAACTCATTGTTTGAGGCGTTGTAGACCACATCCAATAAACGGGTCTTCCTAGTAACAGCTTCACTACCCCAAGAGTAATTTCCAGTGTCCAACCTCAAAGCACGCCACTTCACATTGCCTCCTCGGACCCTGATCCTCCTAACAGTCTTAGCATTAGGCACCAGCTTTGTATTTGCAGACTGTCTTCCCATCTCATACCTTCACAGAGACATTAAATCAAAAGTCAATACCATATTGTACTGAGATTGAAATCATATCTATGGACAGCCCAAGATAAGAATTTGAGAAGATCTACTCTAAGGAAAAAGACAAGAACTCATTGCAATTATGTAACAAAAGCCACCTATATCTACATCCTAATAAATCTACATTTCTTCCTCTATAAAAAGTCCATATTTCATCAAACAAACGACATTCAATAAAATAAATACACTCTATCCCAAATTAATTTGAATCAACTACACAAATCCTCATGTAGCATCCATTTCAGCTATGCTCAAATAAAAAAGTATGACATTCAATAAATCAACTGCACTCAACCACAAAATACTTTGGTCTGCTATATCAGTACACATTCCACTACATTCAGATCAATATAGACAGACAATCAATAAATCAATTTCACTCAAATCCCAAGTTACTCTTACTGAACCATATGAATCTTTTGCGTCCATTCCAATTGTATTCAGCTACAAAAGTAGAAAATATCCAACATAACTAAACTCATGCGGTCATGCCAAATTATTTCGGTCAAATATATCAATCTCATGTACACAAATCACTACATTCAGGTCAAAATAGCATCAATAAATCAGCATTTCTCAAACTCGAGTAAGTTTTAGTAAACTGCATAAGACCTTTGCATCAATTCCATTACATTCAGCTCCAAAATAGTAGAAAATATTCAATATATCAACTACACTCGTCACAAATAAGTTTGATCGACTATATCAATCTTATATACACAGATAACTAAATTCAGATCAAAATAACATCACCAAATCTCATTGCTCAACCTCAACTTAGTTTAACTAAAACTATATAAAACAACATATCCATTCCATTGCATCCAGCTACAAAATAGTAGAAATATCCAATCTATCAACTACACTCATCCCGAATTAGTTTGTATCGACTATTTTGAATCTTCTGTAACATCACATTGAGATGAAAACAATAATTTCCACTTACTTTCGCTTCTTCCTCCATGCCTTCTTCTTGCCTCCAGTGGCACGTCTCTTGTGCATCGAATCACGAGAGATACCTGTCAAACACCATAGCAAATTGCTCTTTTAAGCTTATTTTTCACAATCTCACAATAACAGAAAACAAACAAACGAGATCAACGAAGGCAAAGGTAAGCTGATATGATCGATTTCGTTACCCATGGTTGCCGGCGACGAAGTATCCTAGGGTTCCGGTGATTTCGCACTGCAACGGAGAAGGGCTCTTCAAGCGGGACGGCTAAATGAGATCCACTGGGTTTTTAAACCATCTTTTAAAACCCTAGCTGTAGTTAAAATACCAGTTTTGTCCTCCCTTTGCATTTTAGTCCTTGTTGTTTAGCCTCTAATTCAATTTCAGTCCCTCAATTTTTATGTATTCCAATTTGGTACAAATATTTGATTCAAAGGAATGATAAGACTAAACAATATTTACTATTTAGATTACAATTTGTTCAGAAGTATCATTAAGAATCTTATATCATCTTAAAACTTTATCTTATAATTCAATACATAATGATTATTAATCAAGTAAGTAATAACTTCGAGGGGTGGTTATAATATTGAATAGATTTCAAACACGATAGATTGAATGAATTGTAGTAGAATTTTGAATTTGAATTCATAGTTTGAATCTATGATCCACCTTTGCATTGCTTATCAAATAATCAAATAACGGGAGCAATTTACTTATGAGTTCACAACTAGCATTTTTATCCTTTTATCAAGATTTCTAAATTAAGAGCTAGAGAGACTGAGCATATCTGATGACGCAAATACTATATCATGTTTGTATGAAAGTGATCTCACCAGATCAATATTTCATTTTTTTTGTGTCAAAACTTTACTAACAAAAAAAACTATAGTAGGATCAACTAATGTTATTAAAAGTCATCACTTTGTCACGTAAAGCGATAATGATGTCCAAGCCAAAGGTTTCAACTTCACACTAAAAGATATGCGCCTCAAATAGTAGTGTTTCAAACAATGACGCGCAAAGTGAGCTCTGAATCTCAATTTTCAATTGTTGGAAGATTAGTATCGGAGCATAATTGCAATTTGAAAGTTGAAATTTGACTAATATAATACCAAAATTCATATGTTGCATTTTTCATTTCTTGCTTCTCGCTTTTCGCTTCAAGCCTCATGGATCTTATCCATTTTTTTGCACCTTTTACTTTTAAAAACATGGACACCAACAAGATGGATTTGTTTGGTACATGTCAAAACCTCTAAAAATAGTGTATTTTTTTAGAATCTAAATTGCAACGATATTTGTGGAAAGTTCGAGCAACATAAAACAACAATAACATATTCAATGTAGTCCTAGAAAGTGGGATAGAGTTTATACCCCACCCTTACCCAAAAGGTAGAGAGGTTATTTTTTATAGACCCTCAACTCAAGGAAACGAACACAATCTCGAATGAGAAGTAACGGAGTGTAAGGAACAACAAATAGTAACATGACAAAAACTACAACAAATCAATACGATAATTGAACTACAAAGATCAACAGATAGTAACAAAATCAAATGACTAAAAACTATAGGAGCAATATTAAGACTACTAATATGAACAGACAACAAGACTACGTCTCGCTCTCTACTATCCTCCTACCACAATTTTTTGTCTTCCACACCCTCCTATCCTAGCAAAATAGCAAAAACTACATAAACCTAAAAAAACAAAGAACCATGCAAGTCAAAACAAACTTCAAACATGGATTATTTGAATGAAGCACTTATGGATAAGCAATGCAAGCAAAGAGAAGGGGAAAGTCTACTTCATGTGCAATATAGTCCCATACACTAACATAAAGCTTCAAATATATTGTTTACAAAATCTGCAGTATCAAATGAATTCAGAATATTCAGTACTTATTTGATGGGATCCTAAGTTGGTATTCCCAATTGTTTCACACTAGTAAATCAAACATGACCTCACATACAATCTGAAAGAAAAGCAAATCCCAGAAAGAGAGGGGAAACTATAAGAACAAACACCAGCAACTTTGCCGGGCACTACAGTGAACAAAACGTCAAAAAAAAAGAATATAAAAAATGACAACTCTAACGCTCAACATAGTACCAGAGGTACTGGTCTTATCACGGGGGTGCACAAACACATCAACTACAATAGACGGTATCATGTATACCTTGCAATCTGATATACATCTCGATCGAGTGCTGAAAAAAGAGCCTATATTGATTTTACTATATTGATACTTCAAACTGTCACAAAACACCTTTAAAACTGGACAAGCACCTCACTAGCTCTAGAGATCAGCTTTCTTTTATCCGAAATATATCTATAAATATATATGTATATATATATCTATATATATTGTGAGGGGTACTATATAAACATTGACTTCCACTTCTTTCTCTTATAAGTTTGTTCTCCTAAGTATCTTCAGATATCCAAATAACGAAATCTTCTATGCTGCAATTCCTGGAAACAGTCAAAAAGAAAAGATGAGCTGTCTCAATTTCTGAATAACAAATAGCATTCTTTCAAGAATTAACTTGTGCTGGAGAAAGATATACATACATTGCTTTATTTTATGCATCCAACCGCAAGTTTAACCAAAATGATGGCAAACCGGTATTACATATCTCTATTTGAAGACAATCTTTTTATTTGTATATACGAGATAAAACAAGTTTTGTCGACAGTCTCCATATACGAGTAAGGCTGCTTTTGCTGTCAGCTGAAAATAGTGACCCCATACCATGCAGGTAGGGGCAAAGCCAGAATTTGAAGGTTATGGGTTCAGGATTCTAGTCTTTTCAAGTTATTGGGTTCTAAATTAATAATTTGTAGTACATATTAATGAATTTCTTAAGATAAATACAAGGTTTGGACCAAAACAATTGGATTCGGCCGAACCCACAACTCTATTCTAGCTCCACTTCGGCATGCAGGATCCCGTACTGCCCTCTTAGCACTAGTGTTTGTTAATTGTTGGCTAGTCTGGGTAATCCGTGACCACAAATGAGTGTCATGGCCAGGGATGACAATGGTATCTGGAAAAGGGAGGAAAAAACGTTTTTTTTCTCACCCTACCATACCTTTTTACATAAACATTATTTATGAGTGTGCACATGAGTGAGTGTATGTACCGTGTCTCAGTGTGTGTGCATGTGTGCGCCTGCACGTACAGTTGAGGGTCGATTACAAGGTGTAGATGGCCTTTTCCCATCCACAAATATGGTCGGGGTGAAAAATAATATTCGCTCACATCTCGTGTATGCGCACACACATGTATTTAGAGTGGATGAATAGTGAAGATGACCTTTTCCACACTAGACAGGTCCCTAGGCAATTTTCCCAGTTTTTTCACCACCCATCACCATAGTGACAAGGCATAAGCATCGCCTCTCGATCCAATCCATCTTTGTTTTGTCATTAATTAAGATTGGCCAGAAGTTTTGGTGTATTTTTTGGGCATAGATTGCCTCATCTGAAGAAGAATAAAATGCAAGGTTGCCAAAATCCTAAATAGACAAAAAGTCTGTCCGCCAAGGCTAGGACAAATGGGAAGAAATCACCTAGCGTTTTCTGTCTTCCACTCAGAAACTTTGACAATAAAGTTTTACATTCCATATATACTGAGCTCAAATTTTGAACCTAAACGAGAGTATTATCGAAAAGAATATCCGTAGACCTTTTGTTCACTACTGTGTTTATATCCTAATGTTTTTCAAGCTAGGATCTTGCCAAAGGAAAAGTCTGATTCATATTCCAAAATACGGATTCATGGTTAAATTAAGAAATGATGCAAAAAGATTTATCAAATAAATACCAAGGGAGGCAATTGGAAGTATAATGTTACCTCTATTCGGTTGTCTATTTGCAATACTATAATTTCCGATATAATCCTCAGAATCTTTAGCAGAAACATCAGCTGGATTTCCAAGACCATATTCAAATGAACCAGAACCATCTGCATCAGAAGACACGCCTTGCCAAGTTCGATCACCATACATTGAAGCACCACGGAATTGATCTCCGTAAGACCCCTCGTAAGCACCAGTTGATGCAGTAAACGATGAGGTTGTAGCAGCATTGTTTCTTCCAAGTCCTCCAGATCCCAGCCCATAATTATTTTCCCCACTCCTGAAATTTCCACCACCATATCCAGAAGAATTACCACCCGGAACGGAAATAAGAGAGCCCCAATTAGCATTGTTATTCCCAAAGACGCCATAATTTCCGCTTCCAGAGCCTACAAATGAACCTGGACCACCAGAACTTGCTGAAGCATTGAGGCCAATATTTCCCCATAAATTCCTGGTTGGGGAGCTTAGAAAAGAATCCGCTCTATTGTTGCTTGTGCTGTATCCAATAGGAGTAGTGTATCTGCTTGAATTTGCACCGAAATATGGGTTTAGTATCCGTCCATAACCAAGATTATTGCTAAAGTTGGAAGCTCCTGCAAAGGTGGGGCTCAACGCCGGGTCCAAATTGACACCCATTCCATAAGCAGGAGAAGCAAACTGAGAGAAACCGGCACGAGCACCGGCAACTGGACTAAACCTGCCATCCATCCTGACCCCATATCCTCCAACCGACGCTAGATTATAACCCTGAGCAGCATAGTTGTTGAGGAAGTTGTTGGCTCTATTGAGTCCATAGTTGTATCCCATGAAAGGGCTACGGCTAGGCGCTGGAGATAGCTCCTTTGGTACAGCACGCTTTACTTCAACCAGTTTACCATTTAGTTCATGAAAAGACTTAAACAATGTCCTATCAACTGCTTCCTCCGAATCATAAGTTATAAATCCAAACCCTCTTGGCCTCTGAGTATTATGGTCATACATCACTACGACATCTGTAATTGTACCAAACTGATCAAAGTATGTCTTAAAATCACTCTCCGTGACAGTAGATGCTAAGCCTCCTACAAATATCTTTTTTGTGCGTCCACCACCTGGAGATCCTTGAATGCTGCTATTGTTTCTATTTACTATTTGTTGATCATCCCTAGGAACAGCCTTCTTTGCCTCAACCTGAAAATCGAAGCAACTTAAAATATAGAGATAAAAAAGGCGGTTTGGTGCATAAAGCATCCTGCATAAGCATGGTTGGGGGAAGGGCCACACCCCTTGGGGTGGGGTGTGATGTAGACAGTCTAGCCTAATGCAAGCATTAGTGCCTGCTTCCACGACTTGAACCCCTGACCTAGAGGTCACACGGAGACAACTTTACCGTTGTTCCAAAGCTTCAAAAATGGAGATGATTATCCGTTTGATAGAGTCTTTGAAGTGTATATAAACTTTATGTAAACAAGAGGTCTCTATCAATTAGCTGCTGCAAAAGTGCAACAAATCATTTAGCATAAACCTTCCATTACAGCTTTCCGCGCCAGTTCACATTTAAGTAACCTATGATTATTAAACTTGTAGAACAACTATTATGGATCGATCTCAAACTAGTTGGGATCGGCTTTATGAATCTTGTATGTCCATTTCACTATAATATCTAAAGATAAAATAAATAACAACTATGCTTCAACTACAAACAAGTTGGCTCAGCTATAACAATCCTCATTGACCATGTTTCTGCATTGAAATTCATCTAAAATAAATTAGAAAGAATTAAAAATGAAATATAAGAACAACTACCGTTCGTCCATCAATCATATGCTTCTCCTTAACTACTCTTTCAGCAACAACAGGATCAACAAATACAACAAAACCAAAACCACGAGCACGGCCAGTATTACGATCCCTCATGATCACAGCTTCCACCACTTCTCCATATGAACTGAAATATTCTTTAAGACGATCCTCATCCGTGTCCCAAGAAATCCCACCTATGAATAGCTTACCAAGATCTGACTCCATCATTTCTGCAATCATAAGATCAATATCCACAAAATTAAGTTCCTCCCTCATAACAAAATCACATCTTGCACAAGCAAATGCAAAAAGTTCATACCACAAATAGACAATCACTAAGAATTTGAGCAAAATTCTTCCACTCAACATAAGAAAAAACAGTTTTTTTTGCTGCAATCATAAGTTCAATATCCACAAAACTAAGTTTCACCCACATAACGAAATCACATCTAACACCATATAATACAAGAAAATCAATACTACTACTAGACAAATTCAATCACTATGAATCTGTATTAGCAAAAATGCCTGCATCTTAATCAAATTTAACATAGGTAGATAATTACCAACTTGATATAACAAAAACTTGGGAATTTAAAACACCCCATAGGTGGAAATCTTACTAACTCAGTTGGTTGGCTACCTGAACTTTCATCTTTTCGATAACAATTTGATTCCCACTTTGTAATCCCCTCCCCCATACCCCAGTTTTTTTCTTTTTTTATAAAAAGATCCAAAAATGTGGATAAACAAAAGGATAAACAAAACAAGAAACAGACCTTATCTAGCAAATCAGGCAGACTCCAGGTGGGAATACTGATCAAACAGCAAGGGGAAAGTGTTGGATTCAATCCAAGAACATGGATCCTTGTACCATCAATCAAAAAACAATCCAATGTATCTGAAAACATCAAAATTCAACAGATCAGAAGCTCAACAACAAAAAAAAAGTTTCAAAAATAAAATAAAAATAGAGACAAATCAAAAACATCTTTTCATACCATTTGTAAAGATTGAACATTTTTCAAGAAAAAACCCAAATTGGGAAAATGGTAGAAACTATAACCAGAGATCTAAAGAGGTGTATATAGCTATATAGTTATTATTATTAATATTTTAGGAATAAGATGAAAACAGAGGATGTGAGTGCTCATCCTCTACCTCTCTTCCCAAATGTCCCTCTCTTCTTTTTATTCACTTTTTTTTTAATATATTTATTAATTTGAATATTGAAGGGAATTGAAATTTTTTAATCTATTATCAAGGTGTTTGGCTAAGTTTATAAGCTGGTCAAATTAGATGTATTTTTTAAAAAAGTTTATTCGTGTTCGATATATGTCAAAAGTGCTTATATGTAATGATGGATTTACTCTTTTGTGAATTAAAACGTGACGAATAAAAATAAATCAAAAGAGTAGTACATATATCATGTGTGTTCACGAGAAAATTAACCAAGTTTTGCTTATATTGTGTATTCACTTATTATTTGTATATTAAGTTGAAATCATTGTAGAAATTCATAACTTCAAATCTTGAATTTTGTCGTAAGTTATAAATTAATCACTCTCAATTTATGATTTTACCGTTGATAAGCATCTTCCATCTAACAAAAACTGTTAAAATTTTGAGAAAAAATAAAGACTTTCGAAAATTTGTCGTCTAAAACATTCCAAAGAAATTTATCTAGTTATAAATCATTTCATTAAATGATAAAATGAGAAGTTTATAATCAAATTGATATTAATTATTCTAGTGAAATCCTCTTAAAAATATTGTTCAATAACATACTGTAATTTCACAAATAAAGTCTAAAAAAAGTAAGATGTATAACTTTATCCCAATTTTTACGAGATACACAATTTTCTTTTATAAGACTTAAAATATAATGTTTTAACACTTAATTTTTATCAACTATTTTAAAGTGAAATAAATAATAAATAAATAAGACAAGTAGATGGAGGTAGCGGTCCGTGAATGAGATTACGTGCGTATATGTCTGTTTTTATGTACATTTGGTTGTGGCAAATCGTGGAAATACTAGGTGGGGGCGCCTACCTATATTATTATTTATTACATAACATATGGCCAACCAAGGGCGGAGCCATGTCTTTAGGGGTTCATCCGAATTCCCTTCGGTGGAAAATATTACTATATATAGTTAAAATTATTTTTTAGATGTATATAATAGATGTCGAACCTCCTTCGACTAGTTCGTATGTTTACTCCTTCGGATTTTGAATCCCCTTATTGAAAATCCTGATTCCGCCACTGTGGCTATGACTGGCAACGGAACCGGGAGGTACCGGTACCGGTTCCGGTCCGTTCCGGTCCGTTACCGGTTCCGTCTCGGTTCCGGATAGTACCGTTTAGATCCGGAATTGTTCCGGTCCGGGAGGGGTAACGGGACGGAAACCGGGATTTACCGGTCCGTCCCGGTCCGGTTAGTCCCGGTTCCGTCCCGGTCCGGTCCGGTTCCGGTCCGGTTCCTTT